AACCCTACCTATTCCCAAAACCCTACCTATTCCCAAAACCCTACCTACTTACTCATGAATTCTACACAGCACCTGGAGCCCCAACTCATAGACTGATTCTTTGGGCTGTGGCATTAGCTGTAGACCTGTGGTTCTCAACTTTGGCTTCGTATTATAATCACCTGGGAAATTTCTAAAACTCCCAGCGCTCAGGTCATATCCCAGACCAATAAATCAGAATCTTTCAGAGCAGGAGCCAGACAACAATACTTTAACTTCTTAGGTGATTCTAATGTTCAAGCAAATTTGAGTTGTCAATGAATAGTTTCTCTCAAGTCAGGCAGAGATTGTAGGCAAGGTAGTAATACAAGGTATATTACTTACTTACTACTTGCAGTAAGATTTAAGAAATAAGGTAGTAGTACATGAAGAAGGTTTGAAAGAACCTGGCTGGCCGGGCACGGTGGCTCAAGCCTGTAATCCCAGCACTTTGGGAGGCCGAGACGGGCGGATCACGAGGTCAGGAGATCGAGACCATCCTGGCTAACACAGTGAAACCCCGTCTCTACTAAAAAATACAAAAAACTAGCCGGGCGAGGTGGCGGGTGTCTGTAGTCCCAGCTACTCGGGAGGCTGAGGCAGGAGAATGGCGTGAACCCGGGAGGCGGAGCTTGCAGTGAGCTGAGATCTGGCCACTGCACTCCAGCCTGGGTGACAGAGCAGGACAAAGTCTCAAAAAAAAAAAAAAAGAAAGAAAGAACCTGGCCAATGTGGGTATCAGTAGGACATGGTTGCAGTCTATAGGCTATTGACTGTGTGCTAATGCCAATTCTTTCCCTAAGTCTTTAGATCCTTCCAGTCAGAAGCTATTTTTGCAACCTCTGTATTCCCAGAGCGCTTTCTTTTCTTTTCTTTTCTTTTCTCTCTCTCCTCTTTCTTTCTTTCTTTCTTTCTTTCTTTCTTTCTTTCTTTCTTTCTTTCTTTCTTTCTTTCTTTCTTTCTTTCTTTCCTTCCTTCCTTTCTTCCTTCCTTTCTTTTTTTTTTTTGAGACAGAGTCCCACTCTGTCACCCAGGTTGGAGTACAATGGCGCAATCTCGGCTCACTGCAACCCCTGCCTCCCAGGTTCAAGTGATTCTCCTGCCTCAGCCTCCTGAGTAGCTGGGATTAAAGGTGTCCACTACCACGCCCAGCTGATTTTTGTATTTTTAGTAGAGATGGGGTTTCACCATGTTGGCCAAGCTGGTCTCCAACTCCTGAGCTCAGGTGATCGGCCTGCCTTGGCATCCCAAAGTGCTGGGATTACCAGCGTGAGCCACTGCGCTCAGCCAACACTTTCAATCTAATCTAACATGTACCACATTCTATCTTGTATTAAAGCTCTATACATCATATATATCAAATTTGTTTCCTATACAGTACTGTGAGCTTCCCAGAGATAAGAATTCTGACTTACTCATCTTCTCTTTCACCTAGAATATTTACTTTAAGAGTAGGCATCAAAAAATGTTAATTGAAATATATTAAGTGATGTAGAAATGTCACCAAATGTACAAATAGAATGTAGCAAGGAATCCTGGCACTTTGCCCTCAGTCCCACAGCAGGAGTTCCTAACCTGATGTGCTTCAAAACCTTCCACAAGTGGACTGATAACCCTGGACTAGACTCCAAAATCTTTATCTGAAAACAGAGACAATCTCTAGAGAAAAAGTCTGGGCAGATGACTGATGTACTAATTCTGGAACACTGACCATCCAAGGCATTCAATATACATTCAGCTCCAAACTGGAGCTTTTTCATCAGCGATATGAGCTGAATTAGTAATGTTTGGTGGAAAAAAAAAAAAAAAAAGAGCATGATTCATCAGTGTCTCTTGGAATTACACAGCCAGGGCTGTTCATGGCCTGAGTGGTCAAACCTAACAAAATGAATGAAGGAATGAGCATGACTCTCTGGCAAGCCCCTCAGCATAGTGGTGATTCCACACAAAAGTCTTCTTCGGAAAAATCACAGCAACTAGATACTTTCGTGGGTCTTTTTCCCGTTGCCTGTCCCTCTGCTCACCATTGCAGGGACTGAAAGACTGCTGAGATTCTCACAGGTAGGAGAAGACCTCAGAAATGCCTCCAGGAGGCAGGCTGGGATCCAGGGTCCAACACACACTCTTGTGAGAGTGTGAAGCCAAGGAACATAAAAGAGGGGAACACCTTGGCTAAAAACGTATTTGTGATAGAGGAGAAGGGGAGGAACAGGAAGCCTCCAGCTAGTCATTTGGAATCTGGCAACCATTTCTGTCAGCTTTTCCATTCCTAGATTGATGCCCATTGCTTAATTCCTTAAGGTAAGGGATATACTAAATTGCCTCTTTGTTCAACTCTTACAATAAGAATTTCCCTCTCCCCTCCAGCCCTGTCCCCTCTCCTCCCCTCTTTTCCTTTTTTTTTTTTTTTTTTTTTTTTCTGTCGGAGTCTCACTCTGTCAACCAGGCTGCACAATCTCGGCTCACTGCAACCTTCACCTCTGAGGTTAAAGCAATTCTCCTGCCTCAGCCTCCTGAGTAGCTGGGACTGCAGGCATGCGCCACCACGCCCGACTAATTTTTGTATTTTTAGTAGAGAGAGGGTTTCGCCATGGTGGCCAGGCTGGTCTCGAACTCCTGACCTCAGGTGATCCACCCGCCTTGGCCTCCCAAAGTATTGGGATTACAGGGGTAAGCCACTGCACCTGGTCCAGAGCCAGAATTTATTTCTGAATAGCATTTCACGGTTAGGCGTCTGGCGGTTTAACAGATGAGGAAACTGAGGCCCTCAGTTGCCAAGGTCACACAGCTGGTAAACGGACGGAGCCAGAATGTGAGTACAGCTCCTCCTGCCTCCAAAGGTTCTCTGGGCCCTGTAACACCACGGCAGCACAGGAAAGGCAGGCTATATATTGTTCTTCCCCTGGCCCAGCGCCCTGATCCAATGCCCGGACACACATCCACACAAAGTGGGACGAAAAGGTAAGGGAGAGCCTTCCCCAAGAGAAGGAGCGGCAAGCTTTGATTCTAAAGGGCCTGGGTTGGGTCCGTCCTTTGCCGCTTCTCAGCTGTATGCATTTGGGCAAATCACTTCTCAAACCTCCGCATCTGGGCCTACAGGGCCTCTGTGACTTTATTTATTTATTTATTTATTTATTTATTTATTTATTTATTTATTTTTAACTTTAAGTTCCAGGATACATGTGCAGACTGTGTGGGGTTGTTGCATAGGTATCCGTCGCATCTATGGTTTTATTCAGTCTGAAATGGCGTTCCAGGCTTCGTTAGAAGGTGAAGAACTCTGCAAACTACGAGGCCATACACAGATTCCCTAATACGAGGAAGGCCCTAACTTGCTAAGCTGGATTTTCTTTATTTCCCACAAAGAAGGCTAATACTATCCACTGTGCAACTAGAAGGGACCCCTCGTGTAAAGCGCCTCGCCCCGGCTGGCCTCAAGCGGCGCTAGCTCTCTGGCTGGCGCTGGAGTGTGCCGCCCCCGGCAGCCCCGCCGCGGCCGCAGGGAGCCTGGGAGAGCCGCTCTCGGAGGCTCCGGCAGCAGGAGGAGCGTGTGAGCTGTGGGCGTCCCTTTAAGAGCGGCTGGCCAGGCACGGCCTCCGCCTCTCCGTACGCGGAGCGCCGGCGGTCACCTGGGGCTCGCGGGGTAGCCAGATCGCGGCGGGGTCGGCGCGCTTCCCCGAGCAAAGGTGGGAGAGGGGACCCGGACGGGAGGTGCCCCGAAGCCCTCTTGAGCGTACCCGTCCCGCGCCTCTCTGAGGCGGAGGATGCGGGAGCGCATCTGGGCGCCGCTGCTGCTGCTGCTGCCGCTGCTACTGCCGCCGCCACTGTGGGGCGGCCCCCCGGACAGCCCACGCCGGGAGCTGGAGCTGGAGCCCGGGCCTCTGCAGCCTTTCGACCTGCTCTACGCCAGCGGCGCGGCCGCCTACTACAGCGGAGACTACCTGCAAGCGGTGCGCGACTTGGAAGCGGCGCTTCGCAGCCACCGGCGCCTGCGGGAAATCCGCACGCGCTGTGCCCGCCACTGCGCGGCGCGCCACCCGCTCGCGCCCCTCGGCGAGGGCCCCGGAGCCGAGCTGCCCCTTTTCCGCTCCTTGTTGGGGCGGGCGCGCTGTTATCGCAGCTGTGAGACCCAGCGCCTCGGGGGCCCCGCATCCCGCCACCGCGTCAGCGAGGATGTGCGCAGCGACTTCCAGCGCAGAGTGCCCTACAACTACCTGCAGCGAGCCTACATCAAGGTACCCACACAGCGCTCCTCCGCTCCAAAGACCCTGCGGCCCGCACAGGCTCTCTTGAGCCCTCCCTGCTGCCCCCGTCATCTCTGTTCAGTCTTTCAAATTGGGTCTCCTTAAATATGTGTCTCCGTTTGTCAATCCAGATACCTGGTGGCCCTGTCTCTGTACGCAACAATTGATTAACTTGGACAAGTCTTTTTCTCTCTTTCTCAGAGTCAACTTCTCTCTCAAAAAGAGGACTGTCCTGATAAGGTGAGGGTTAAAGTACGTATTCAGCACGAATTCAAGAGGCGTTGACAAAGCTGAATCTAGTACAAGTTATCTTCTCCCTGCTCACCTCCCATTTCTCTTCTGTCTCCTCTCTCATCCTTCCTATACTGTAATCTGCACCTTTTCTCTGAAGTTTAAAAGAATCTTCAAAATAGTAAAGTTGAAAGACCTGTTCCAAAACAAATTTCTCTGTCTTCTCCCCTTCACCTACAAAAAAGTAAAGATCAAAGGTTAAAGAGAAGGTGTGCTTGGAGGAGGCCAAGCTGTTTGAGGCAGTCTCAGTCAAAGTATCCATCCTAAGTGTTGACTTTTTCTCCTTTGACAGAGGGCTTCCGTTTTCTGGTGGTAGGCATTGGACTGGGTTACTGGGCATCAGTCCTCTCCTTCTAGTTTTATTTTTATATACCCATCTTACCTCAAGTGAGTGACAGGAGGTATAGTGTGCATACTGACATATTTTTCACATACGTAACTCTGAAGATCTCTCTGGATGCGTCAGCAGAGGGAATTTGAATGAGTTCTTCAGCCTCCACTGCCACTCACCCAATTTTGCTTCAAACTGACACTCTTAACCCCTCTTTCTGGTTTTCTATGTTAATATATCAAAGTCTCTTCTACAACTATTGGAAAAGTGGAAGCTTTGGGGTTGGTTGGTCATGCTAGCCAATGGACCAGGCTGCTTTGCTTTGCTTTGCTTTTCTGTTTTTGATGGAGTTTTGCTCTTGTCACCCAGGCTGGAGTGCAGTGGTGCAATCTTGGCTCACTGCAACCTCCGCCTCCCAGGCTCAAGCAATTCTCCTGCCTCAGCTTCCTGAGTAGCTAGGATTACAGGTGTGCACCACCATGCCTGGCTAATTTGTGTGTGTGTGTGTGTATTTTTAGTAGAGACGGGGTTTCCCCATGTTGGCCAGACTGGTCTCGAACTCCTGACCTCAGGTGATCCACCCATCTCGGCCTCCCATAGTGCTGGGATTACAGGTGTGCGCACAGCCGGACCAGGCTGCATATCTAAGGAGATGAAAGTACGTACCATGTTCAAATATCCAAATGCCTTTTGCAGCTCATCCCACAAAATCTCTGCCCTCATATGTGGTGGGGGTCTCTCAGATTGGCAACTGTTGGTGGAGTGCATGAAATTTCAACTAAGTACAAATCTTAACCTCCTGTGTATTGTGGCTAAGGTGTTGGAGTTCACTGGACTAGTATCGTGGGCAAGAAATGAGGAGAAAGCCTGAATCCTTTCCAGGACTCGTCTTCTACTTGCTTGTACCTCCTGATTGCTAAGATATATATGCAGTATAACTCTGATTTCTTCTAAGTGATTTACACAGTTTCTGGTGGTCTCACAGAAATCAGTCAACACCAGGCAGAGAGGGGTCCTTGAGTGTCTGACGGTGACGTTATCATAAGCTAGTTCCCAGAGAAGAACATGGGTGGTCCCTGTAGCTTGCTCCTCCCGGGAGTCTCAGATGTGAGGTTAGCAGTCCTGCTGTTAATTCTGTCACAAATTTTGGACATATTTTCCTTTCTCATATGTGGAGAGAGAATACATATTCATGGTCAGTCCTATAAAAATAAATAACCATGAGGTAACTCTCAATATGTGGGTTTCCCTGGTTCTGGAATTCTGCTTGCTTCACTGCTAATGTTAGCATTTGTCAGTCATTTCCCCTCCCGCTCCCTGGTTGGAGGTCAAAGAAGCTGAAGCCATAGGTCTAACATACCTCAGATTTTTGTGGTGAATTGATTACAGGAACAAGTCACACTCTGTAAGTGAATTACTGGATGTTGTCTGATGAATTAATGAAGTTTAAGACGTTCTTTCAAAGGTGTGTGGCTTCATGTGTTCATTTCAGTTCTACCAGCAGTATTTCTGAGAGCAGAACAGGTCTTGCATCTTCTCCCTTACTTCTCTTCTCTGGCAGTTTCTTGGATCTCCGTAATTGATAATCTCTTAGGAAGAAAACATTTTTATCCCTTTGGAAATTCATTTTTGAAAGTTGGAGTTTGTGAACATCTAAAAATGCATCATGGATTTTCTCTCCCCTGCACCCCCCTCCCCCAGCCCCCAAGAACTCCACAATTTTAGCCTTTTCTTGACTTCCTTGGAATTTCACTTATGAATATGCACACACACCATCTTTTGCGACTGAAAAAAAAAAACTCTCTCAATCAATAAAAGAATATCCTTGAGCTTTGACAGGTCTGGATTCTAGGGCATTAATTCCCCGGCGTTAGGATGAGGAACTCCCTGCGTGGGACTGGATATGGTCATAGTGCCCTGTATTGCTGAATTGCTATTGACATCAGTGATCCAGTTTGCACTTTAAAGGATAATCCTGGACCAGATCAAATTCCGTGAGGGAGGACTGGAATGCTTCATAAAGCTAAGAAAGTACAATTATTCTCAGCTAAGAGATTTTCCAACTATAGAAGCTCTCAAGAGATGTTGCTTCTCCCCCAAATCCTGCTGAGTGGGCCTCCGATGACAGCAGGTTATTCGTGCTGGTGTGTTGGAGGGGAAGAAGGATGAAGAATCATGAAATCTGAGACCCAGAGTTCAATTTCTTGGTTCACAGATGAGGAAAGGGATGTTTCTAAATGTTGAACAGAAAGGTAAAGAGGTTTGCTCAGTGTCACATATTTAGTGGCATACCAAATGATTTGTTGAAATGAGCACAGGGCTGGGAGTCAGGAGTCTGGATTCTTCCAATAACTGATTCCCATAGCTTTCCTATGCTCACCGGCCTGTGGGTTCACATCAGGGCCCAGAGAATGCTGCATACCCCAGGGCTATCCTTATGCCAGATTTGGACAGCTCCAGGGATGAGTATGTCCTTGTCTTGCAGGGTAACAGATACTCACTGTATCTTTCATAAGCCTTGCTCTGTTGAATTTTCTCAAGGCCTGGCATGTTGGGAATTTGCCTAGACAGCTATGAGGCAGTAGTTTCACCTGGCTCCTAGCCATACTTTTTGTTTAAAGGCGGGGTGAGACTCTTCAAACTTTTGATTTTTATCATTTAAGATTGTTAGAGATAACCCATGATTCATAGCCTAAGATGTAAGATATAGCTTTTATCATTGCATTCTCTGCTCAGAAACCTTCAGTGACCTTCCTCTTGCTACCATATAAAGCTCAAACAGTTTACCATAGCATCCACAGCGTGGCTCCCTCTCAACCTTCCCAGCCCTATCTTCCCCAACTCTGCCACCCTCCAGCCAAAGGTAACAATGAGTGCTTTGTCTTATGCCTGACACTTCTGCATCTCTTGGCCTTGTTTAGCCTTGGGAGGTGTAGAGGCTTTAGAATAGGATAGATATGGGATTCATTTTTAGTGTTCCCAATCTCTATCTGTGTGACTGTCAGCAAATTACATCAGATTTTTCAGCTTTAGTTCTCCCATCTGCAAAATGGGGAAATAATGGGACCTACACTTTTAGGTTAAGTGTAAGAGATGAGTGATATCAAGCACCTAGAATAGGTCCTGATTCTCAGTAACCATTGGAGACATGTTTATTCTTATTATTAGTTAAAATAATAGACCTTTCCTCCTCCTCTTCTACATGTTCAAATCATAACATCCTAAGAAACGCACCTATTTCTGTGAGTTCTTCCTTCACTCCATCTACAACTCCCAAAAGTACATCATTTCTCCCTTTTCTGAATTCCCACAGCAACAAATTTGTTCCTCTTCTGTCATTTTTCATTTTTAACCTCATTTTGGAAAAACTGATAATTTTGCTATTACTTATGTGAGCTTCTTGAAATCAAGAATTGTCTTAGTAATTCTTGCATCTCCTAAAGCAGAGGTTCCCAGATTTGGATGAATGCTAAATGGGTAATTATTATTAATCATCAGGGGCATTAAAATGTGATTTAAAATTAGAGATAAAGGCTCAATAGGTCCGAGCTGGGTCATCGGCAACCATCTTCCCTCCAAATACCTAAAGCTGGGGATGGTAGCAGTAGACGTTCAGTGTACGTTTGTTGAATGAATAATAATTTGGTTCCATGCATATGAAGTGTTGTTGAGGAAGATTTCTGCACAGTGGCAGGAGGTTTTCTCACTTTAGTAGTTTGGCTTCCGGGCTGGTCAGTTGGGAGAGAACGTTACAGGACTGTTGACTCCCTGACTTCTCACTATTTTCTACTGATAAGTTCTGGCTAATGTTGCAAACTTTCACCCCCTTTCCCACAGCCCTTTTTCTTCTTTAGTTCTTATTACTTAAAACTGTACTTCAAAATACCCTTGACATAGTGTACTTGTTTCATGTACAATTCTGGAATTTAAACAAACATGAGGGATATTTTTCTTTCTTATCTGTGTCCTTTGTAATCAGGAATGGTTTGACAGGGTCTGTTTTTTTTTCTCCCACTTTTCCCAGCCATTTAAGAAAAAAAAAAAAAGAAAGAAAAGAAAAGAAAAGAAAAAAACTAGTGCTGTTTATTTATTCATTTTTCTACTCAAAACAAGCTTACCCCTGCTTCTTTTGTCTCTGGATTGTTGCTTTGTTCCATTTGACCTTCGTTTTTCTTCTTAGGATTGAAAGGAAGGGGAAAAATACAGACACACTTACATTGGGCAATCCTGTTTTGGTCCTAGAGTCCTCTCTTGAAACCTCCTGTATCTTGATCATAATCTATTTGATTAGGATTCAAAGGAAGGGGAAAAATAAAGACACAATTACATTAGGCAATTCTGTTTTGGTTCTAGAGTCCTCTTGAAACTTCCTTTATCTGGACCATTATCTTTTTGATTAGTGGTTCCTAGGGGAAAAAAAAGTAAACTCTAGGAACTTCCTGACTCTTACTCTGTTTCATCAACTGCTATCTCTTTCTAGAACGAATGCCTTAAAAAGAAATTGAAAACCCAGACAAGTACACCATATAGATCTTATCAGTTTAGAATAAAAATGCTTTCCTGAATCTCGTATTTAAATTTTTTTACATATTTGTAGAATATGTATATTTCATCTGCA